ATGATTAAGTAATATAGATATAATGTAGATAGATAGATACAAAATTTGTTTAATATTAAGCATAATAATTTTTTAGATTTCTAGATGGGGTGATATAATACAGATAGATGATATGATATAATATAGATATAATGTAGATAGATAGATACAAAATTTGTTTAATATTAAGCATAATAATTTTTTAGATTTCTAGATGGGGTGATATAATACAGATAGATGATATGATATAATATAGATATAATGTAGATAGATAGATACAAAATTTGTTTAATATTAAGCATAATAATTTTTTAGATTTCTAGATGGGGTGATATAATACAGATAGATGATATGATATAATATAGATATAATGTAGATAGATAGATACAAAATTTGTTTAATATTAAGCATAATAATTTTTTAGATTTCTAGATGGGGTGATATAATACAGATAGGTGATATGATATAATATAGATATAATGTAGATAGATAGATACAAAATTTGTTTAATATTAAGGATAATAATTTTTTTAGATTACTACATGGGATGATATAATATAGATATACTAATGTACATAGATAGATACAAAATTTGTTTAATATTAAGGATAATAATTTTTTAGATTTCTAGATGGAATGATATAATATAGATAGATGATATGATATAATATAGACATAATGTAGATAGATAGATACAAAATTTGTTTAATATTAAGCATAATAATTTTTTAGATTTCTAGATGGGGTGAATAATACAGAAAGATGAATGATGTAATATAGATAAATGTAGCTAGATAGATACATAATTTGTTTAATATTAAGGATAATAATTTTTTAAGATTACTAGATGGGGTGATATAATACAGATATAGATGATATGATATATACAGATATACTATGTACGATAGATAGATACAAAATTGTTTAATATTAAGGATAATAATTTTTTTAGATTACTACATGGTATGATATAATATAGATATAATGTAGATAGATAGATACAAAATTTGTTTAATATTAAGGATAATAATTTTTTTAGATTACTACATGGGATGATATAATATAGATATACTAATGTACATAGATAGATACAAAATTTGTTTAATATTAAGGATAATAATTTTTTAGATTTCTAGATGGAATGATATAATACAGATAGATGATATGATATAATATAGATATAATGTAGATAGATAGATACAAAATTTGTTTAATATTAAGGATAATAATTTTTTTAGATTACTACATGGGATGATATAATATAGATATACTAATGTACATAGATAGATACAAAATTTGTTTAATATTAAGGATAATAATTTTTTAGATTTCTAGATGGAATGATATAATATAGATAGATGATATGATATAATATAGACATAATGTAGATAGATAGATACAAAATTTGTTTAATATTAAGCATAATAATTTTTTAGATTTCTAGATGGGGTGATATATTACAGACAGATGATATGATGTAATATAGATATAATGTAGATAGATAGATACATAATTTGTTTAATATTAAGGATAATAATTTTTTAGATTTCTAGATGGGGTGATATAATACAGATAGATGATATGATATAATACAGATATACTAATGTAGATAGATAGATACAAAATTTGTTTAATATTAAGGATAATAATTTTTTTAGATTACTACATGGGATGATATAATATAGATATACTAATGCAGATAGATAGATTCAAAATTTGTTAAATATTAAGGATAATAATTTTTTAGATTACTAGATGGGATGATATTATATAGATAAATGATATGATATAATATAGATATAATGTAGATAGATAGATACAAAATTTGTTTAATATTAAGGATAATAATTCTTTAGATTTGTAGATGGGGTGATATAATATAGATAGATGATATGATATAATATAGATATAATGTAGATAGATAGATACAAAATTTGTTTAATATTCAGGATATCGATAAAGTGAGAAAGATGATATAAATTTTAAAACAATTTTTTAGATTTTTAGATGGGGTGTTATAATATATGTATATGTTCAGAGGCAGACGGCATTTGGGCCATGCCTTTAGTTCAATAATTAACAATATTTTAATGTGTAAATATTTTGTTATTTATTTATAAATAGCATAAACTAATGTATAAGATTAGTTTTAAGATTGATATATTATACTGTTTTTGAACTAAAATAAAAATATTATTCTTTTATATACATATGTTTTGAGGTATAACGATTTTATTCGTCGAAAGAGTAAAACTAACCATTATTATTACTTCTAATTGTTACTTCTTATGCTTCTAATAATGAAGAAGTAAAGATATATATTTGGACTGTGCACAAAAAGTAATAAGCATTTTAAAATTAAGCGCACATTTATAAAATCGAATTTTATTTATGTATTGGTTACACTGCTATTAATTTAGGTGCTAATAATCATCTAGTTGTGATGCTTAGTTTGAATTTATTGAGCGAATTGTTAAGACGAATATTATGGAGTTTTCGATTGGTAAATTTGGGATGATTTTTTCAATCGAGATACACTTTTAGTGCAATTTTTATTCGATTGGTAAATCTGGAACAAAGTGAATAACATTCGAGATTAATTTATAACACTAGATATTTTGCCAAAGTAGCAATATTATCCTAAAACTAACAATTATATTAGCAGATAATAGTTATACTAGCAGATAAAGTGTAATTTGATTCGACATATGTATTTGAAAAATGTAAATGTCTACTAACATCACTAAAAAAATGTTAGATTATTCTAAAAATGTTCAATTTCACGAAAAAATTTGACAGATTGAGAGTAAATCTAGTTTGAATACAGATTCACCAATCGAAAATGACATTAGAGTGCTTGGCGATTTCTGGCAATATGATGGATCAAAATCGTAGCAATAAAATGTTTATTAAGTCTTAACGGCAATACTACATCATAACCACGTTAAAAAATGGAACTACCGAAAGATTAAGAAGACATTGAATATGTTGCGGGATCTGAACATTCTAACAGATCCATTTGTAATACCGAGAAGAACAGCGTTGCTAATTATGAACCCGGTATCATTCTGTGATTTGGAAGAAGGTAATTACTTTAAAAGTAAGAAGGTTTTACTGGGAAATTATACCAGGGCCATCACAATCGATATCGCTTATAAGGACTTTCGAATCTCTTATAATGGAACTTGTAGAATTAGAAAAAGAGAGAATGAGACCTCTAATTACGTGCTGGACTTTTGTCGCGACCAATCTATAAACGAAAGAAGCACTTAGGTGGGTATCTTAAATCGAACCAAAAAAAATGAAAATGAAATAATTTAAAAATAAAAATCTGTGACGTAGGTTTAAATTTAGAGTTGAGGGAATACTCCAACTCTACGAAGGGATCACAATAGATCTCTACATCGCATTTTTATAAAATAATATGCTTAAAATGAGTGGAAAAACCAAATATACTTCAATCCCAAACCATTATATTTTTTGAATACAGTTTTCTTTAACTTTTACAAAGATACTTTAGATACAAAGATTTCTAACAATAGATAAGATAAAAGTTAAATTGCAGAAAGAGACTTTCAGACCATACCCAAATAAATATATCAAAAGTGTTTTTCAAACTGCAAACCATGGAATAGATTTTGACTGGATTGTTTAAATAAACTTACGATAGAAATGTTATATTTTTTACATAGCATAAGTTTCCATTGGAAATTAGTTACAAACAGCTCTCTGTATTTACCTTCATACATAACCCTTGACATTACATTTCATATAAATTTCAATCTTATAATTTATACTTTTAATTTTCTACTCACAGGTTCTACGATTGTTTTTAAGTGAATTTAATTGAAAGTTGTGATTAATGAGAATAGTGATATGTTTCATATTAGTGCGTCTTCGTTGTTTTTTAGAAATTTGGATAATAAGGGTTTTTTCACTGACAGTTTTTTTGGAGACACTTTTCTTTGCCTCTCTATATCTCGGGAAATCAAAAATATGAACAATATACAGGGTTATTTATCTTATGGTTTTAAAAGTTCGTTTAAATAAAACAATCTTGTGATTAAGATTTCAATCAAACGAAATCAATACCTTGTTTGGAACTTTGCTATTAGGTGTGAATTATAACATAATTTAAATGTCCTCCATCGGATATTTTACAGTATTAGATTATTTTTAAATAATTTTCAAAGACTTGCCGGCCATTAGTAAGTAAATACTCGGTCATAACTTCAAAGATGTTTGTTTTCAGGCGTCATGAGCTTAAGAAATGTAAACATAAATACAGTTTTGTAACTGCACACAATGAAGTCCAGTAGTGATAAATCGAATCATCTTGGTCATTAATTTATATAGGTATATCTTTATTATTACACTGAAAAAAATTATAATGATGCGATCGCAATGATCAGATTTGATAGTTTGTGTTACATCTTCTGCATTTTAAAAAAATATCGGGTTTGTGACACTAGTAGGACCAAATGTCACACCATAGAGTAACTTTTTGTAGATGTAATAATTTATCGATAGTTACTTGTAGATTTTTACTGTTCCAGATAAGAGAATTGTTTTTGTTGACTTATCAACTAAACGAAAAACGATTCTTATCATTAAAGAGAAAATTCAATACGATATATATTTACTATATAATCAAAATTTTTTATAACAAATTTTTACAGATTTAACACCTTCAGCAGTTGTTAAAATATCTACATTGTATAATGACAAACCTTAAACATAATGTCTTGAATGGCAGTTCTGTTTGATATATGTCACAAAAATATTACCATCAAACCAGGATTATGACCAGGATCAAACCTTTTTTTAAATTAAGTCTATGAACAATAACATATTTTAATAATATTTTTTAATATTAAATTCATAATTTTTTTGTTGAATATATGTATTATTTATAAAATTTATAAGCAATTTTTACATGATATAATAAAATAAAATAAAATAATAAATAATTATAATAATTTTTTTAATAATAATTTCAACTTTTTACTTTCAGAGTAAAATTGATCCTAAATATAATAAAAAATCACATTCAATCCTCTTACAACTTGAGTTTAAATTATACCAACAAAATAAAAGTAAAACTAAAGTAAAATGAATTTTACACCTTTTGGCAATCCATTTACCGGCTCCTTACCAGGAATATCCCAATTTACAACCACAACTGCACCATTAGTGTCTACAGTAACAGCTGCTGCAGCTGCAGTTGCAACGGTTACATCAGCGAATAATCAACAGCAACAAGACGCTGTTGCTAGCAGTAGTATTCGTTATCAACAGCAACAACAGCAGCAGCAGCCACAAAACACAACCGTTAATATGACACATTTTAATCAACCGACAATACCTGTTGCTGCAGCAACGACTGTTACAACAATACCAGCAAAATTTCGTACCACCACAGATGATCAACAAGGTGATAAATATAATGGTCACTTAGTGCTAGGTGCAACAGGTACTGTTCCTACAAATAATACAGCACCTCAGCAACAGCAGCAACAGCAACAACAACATCAGTACACAACTATACCAGCTTATACGCAGCAACAAACTGAAGACAAACGATTAGTAGCAGCAGCAATTGCTTATCCTCAAAATACGATCACTGCCTCGACGTCAACAGTAACAGCAGCTACAATAGGTCTAAGTGCAGGAGGTCAACCTGGTACTTCAACTCAGCAATTACAACAGCAAGTGGTGCCGCAGGAGCTGACACAGGACTTATGCAATGCATTATTGCAACAACAAGGTGTGGATACAAAGAGGGGTGAGTTAGGAATGGGGACAACGTAGTTAGGTGTAGGTGTTAGATATATGACAGAGACATTTCATTTTATAATAGCTTAAAACCATATTTTAGGCAAATAAAAAAAGAAAATAAATTCATTAAAATTAACTTAATTTTTAACATATGTTTTAAATGCTTGGGTATTAATACTAAGCCTAGTATATTAATATATATTATAATAATAATATAATATAGTAAACACTTCAACACTATGCCCTAAATTAGATTCTAATTTAACAATATTAATTGAGATAATTCAATACAAACAATTTGTCAACAAATAAAATACAAATTGTTGTTAATAAATTCTTTATACCGATAAATACTATTCTATAAGATCTAGTATTTTAAATAGAATAAATCGTAATTGATCTTAGCGCAACCTCATATTTAAACATACAATATTATAATTTATATAAATATTTCGAAATAATCGAATTCTCAGGTCACGAACCAAAGAAAGTAAAGAATCGGTAAATTAAGAGTCTCTAGAAATAAACTAGCACCCTTGAGAGAAAAAAATTATGAGCAATAAAATTTAGTAATACAGCACCTATTAATCATATTTCTTTACTATCTGCATGTAATATCTTTAAAGTTTTGAGAGTTGATCTACCAAGTGGTTGTTAATTCATTTTCCGTATAATATCATAAAATTTATCTGTTAACAAAACGAGGTGCAAATTTTGATTTTCTTTTAAAAAGCTTCCTTTTTCGAGTTGTTTTAAAGAGCCTAAGGTCCTTCTTCGAGCTGAACATATCTTGTAAAGATTATACTATACATACATATCAGTGACGATTGCTCTAAGGTGCGGAGGTGTGCGGTGAACACCCTAACATAATTTGCAAAATGTCAAATAACATAGGTATATAAATTTATTAGGTATCTTCACATCAAGAATTATTATTAATTATTACATTTCCATATATATATTTTTAAAGTTTTAGCAAAAACAATTAAATATAATTGTCTATGAAAACTCAATCAATTTGCTTCTGCTAGCTGCTATACTTGTTAGGTGTGCTGATATATTTGCAGCTCAAATCACAGAACATTTCTATTTTATTTCGTCTCTCCCCTTTGTGTGCAAAGAAGTTGGCCTAACATTCATACGTTGCATATGAACAAAATAATGTGCGTGTGCTCCCGTTTGTAATATCAGAAATAGAGATTTATATAGTGGGAATTGTATGAGAGTAATTTTCTGTTCTACTCGAATATCAACTGCACACATACGAATCCAACATGATGATTTGCCAAAGTGATTGCATGAGCGGCTGAAGTTTGCAGCTCATCTCACCATACATTTCTATCACATTTCGTCTCTCCCCTTTTAACAGCAGCACCCACGAATTTCTGTTCTTATGGTGCGGGGTACTTGTGCGCACATTGCAAGTGGTTTCGATTTTGTTTGATCACTGCACAAACATGTATGTTTCTAAGTACAAACTCTTTTGTTTGAAAAAAGTTGGTTTGATGTTACGAGAATTATGTGAAATGTTTTGTTTCTTCCATATTGATATAATATTAAATTTATATATAAATTATTAATTTAATTTGTTTAATATGTTATTTTGTTAATGAATTGTTAATATAATATTGCGAATATATTGTTGCCTAATATAATATGGTTATTATTAATAAAACATCTCATATATTTTAATTTAAGTGGTACATGTAAAAAAAACATTAAAGAAGAGCCGCACACCCTTCCAAATAGGGCACGCGTCGTCACTGATACATATTATATATTATAACACTGTGATTAAAAAATAAGATGAAGTTGTGTATAATTTTCAAAATCTTCACTTATATTCTAAATCTTACATAAATATATACTTACTTATTTACTAAGTTGGCCATTACAAACGTGAATCATCCTTGGCCGCGTCGAGTAGCCTCCGCCAGCCAGCCCAAACAGTTTTTGCTGTCGGCAGTTGGTAGTACTGAGCGCCCCCAAATCGTTGGTCGCTTGGTCCTTCCACCGAAGATGCGGACATCCTCTATCGCGTTTTGCACCTGCGGGTACCGAATCAAACATCTTTCTAGCCGAAGCAGTTTTTTCCATTCGAATTTTTATGCGCTTAACTATGTCAATGCCGCGGTATAGCTCATACAGCTAATCGTTCTATCTAATTTGATACTCGTCGCCACCGCGTAAGGGGCCATAGATTTTTTAAAGTATTTTTCTCTCGAATGCTCCTAACGCTTTTTGGTAATTGTCTGAACTTCTGTACCATACAGCAGAACAGGCATAATAAGTGATTTGTAGAGCATAATTTTTGTTTGTCGAGAGAGAGCTTTATTTCTCAATTGCGTACTAATATATTACATATATGTATATGTATTTTATTAAATAATATAATATGCTATATGTCAACGAAGAAAAAAAGCAAACTGCTATCAGTCTATAGTGGCTATAAATTTTCAATATCCGTTTTTCTTGAATTTGTGGTAATAATTAGATGGTTTACACTACTCTTAATATAGATAATCGGGTTGTATAATTTCACTTATTTTCAGTAAATTTTTTTCCACAATATTCTTAAAAAAAAGTACAGGATAGAACTGGCTCTAACGAAATGAAATGTAGAGATGTATATCTATTTAATTTTATTATTTTGTTAATAAATTTTGTTTTTCAAAATGATAAATATCTTTCTTCAGTTCCTAAATAATAAAATAGAAAATAGACTTCTTTACCTTCAGATATTCATAACTTTTTTTAATTTTTAAAACAACTTTCCCATGATTTTATAAATGATTTTACAAAAACTGAACTTGACACTTTACGTGTCTAGTGACTCCTTAGAGCTGAGGGGAATGATACAAACCACTATTTAACGCACTCTTTCGTTCGCTATAGCTGATGTATTTGGTGGATAATTACATAGTAACTGACGTTTACTCAGTTAAATTTTTTATTATCTGGAGCAGCTGTATGGTCAACCCAAGAATTTAAAGAAAAAGTATTTTTTTTTTTGGTTTTTAACCTTTTTTCTATTCGATATAGATTTCTTGTCATATCAAAAAAAAACTTGTGATTATTCGTAAATTATTGTATAATAAATATAATTATATATAATTATTTATTTTTTTATTTAAAGTCAATAAAAAAAGTCACGACAAAAGCAATCGAATAAGATCAAATCTTAATTATAAAAATTCAAAACGAGGTTTCTTAAATACTTGCTAATTATACATAAATAATCTACTTTTACGGGGAAGTATGGAATTTTATAATTTTAAGAAATTGAGAACTTCTTCTACTCTACCTACTTACCTACATACATACATATATCAAAAAAAATCTTATAAATACTTTACATGTAATTTTTTTTTAAATTAATTTATGAATCTATTATGTATGTTATAGTGTAATTATTTTATTGTTATTTAGTTATAAGGGAAGTATATTCATAGTATAACATAGGTTAGGTTATATAGAAGTATAACATAGATTAGTTTAAAGTTAGAATTTTGAAGTACTCTGACAAATTTTTAAATATTTATAAGTATGGGAATGGATTTTAGGTTAATTGATATTGAAAATGAATTATATATTCTCATTTTCATTGATTTAATAGTGCTACAAAATACTTCCTGGCAATCTCTTACTCCTGGCACTACAGTTGCAGATTATCTGTCACATCTTCCAGCGAATACATTGCCGCTATCACTGCATCATTTCCTAAAATACTCCGCAGAAAATATTAAAAAAGAAAATCAAAATGTAGTAAGTATATATAAGGATTCTTTCAAGTGTTGGGTAAAAAAACTTATTACAAAATATTTTGATAACATAAAATAGGTCTTACAAGTACAAACGGGACCACCCATAGGCATAAACACAATAGGCACAACTACAATAACAATACCTCAGCAACAACAGCAACAACAACCGCAAGCAACAGCACAAATACAAACTCAACAACAAACACAACTTCAACAACAACAACAACAGCCTCAACCAACAATACAACTTCAAACGACTGATTTACCAACAACCACAGTTGTGGTAGCCTCCACTTCGGCAGCTGCTGGAGCTACAAACACAACCAAGAAGAAGAAGCGTAAAAAGCGTCCAAAGGAGAGGAAACCAAAATTACGTCCTGGAGAGATACGACTTACAACAGCACTTGATGGTAGCCCACTGTATATGTGTCCAGAATGTCAAGTAGCTTACCCTGAACCAGATTTATTAGAAATACATTTAGTAGGACATAATCTAGAGCGACGTTACATATGCGATATTTGTCAGGCGGCACTAAAACGAAAAGATCATTTAACACGCCACAAACAGTCCCATAACCCGGAACGTCCATTTATATGTACAGTTTGTTTGAAGGCCTTCAAGAGAAAAGAACAATTAAGTCTGCATTTTGTGATACATTCTGGTGAAAAAAGACATTTGTGTCAAGAATGTGGTAAAGGCTTTTATCGTAAGGATCATCTGCGTAAACACACACGATCGCATATAGCGAGAAGAGTGAAAGCCGAACTGAGTATGCAAAATCAAAGTGAAAATGGTACAAGTATGTTACAACCAGTGGTGACAACGACAATAACAACAGTTCAACAAACAACGCAGCAACAACAACAACAACTCAATATACCACAACAACAGCTTCAGCAAAATAATCAACAGCAAGTGCAACAACAACAGCAGCAACATCAATTGCACACACAACAATTGCAACAACATCATGTTGTTGTAACTCAACAGCAACAGCAACAAGCTCAGCAACAGCAACAGCAGCAACAGACGCAAATGCTTAATTAACCCAGTGGCAACGATTTTTGCAAAATCACTTAAAAAGTGAATGAAAACTTTTGCAAAAATTCAATTTAATTAGAAATTATTTATTGGTAAAATCGAACTTTTGAAAAAAAAAAATATATAAATTTTAATGAGTATATAAGGACACAAATCAAATATGTGATAATAGTACAATTTTCCCAAAATATAAGAGAATATAAGAAAGAAATACGGAATATAAGCCAACGATTGAAGAGGCAAACTCTTCATTTAGGGGAAAATAATACTAAAGATTTAATACTTTCTTCTTCGAATTTATTTAAATTTATGATAATTTACTATAAAATAGTTTTAAAATCTATAATTAAAAATTGCAAAACTTAAAATATTTTTGTTACCGCGCATCTGCATTTTTTTTCCATTCATTCTCTCCATAAGGTCTCAATCCAAATATGATATCTTATCCTATTTAGACATAATGTTTTTACTTGTGACCAGTTTAGTACTGCTCACTTAAGCTCTGCTAATACCGACCTTCTCCATGTGTTACGTGGTCTAGCAGGTTTTTGATTACCCGCTGGATTCCATTCTATAATGGAATGTATGTATCAAAAATAATAACATTTATTTAATATATATATGAAGAGAATTGAATACGACTGTTATTAATTCGCAAAGGCGATTAATTTTTTTTTTGTATGATTTTACAAGATCCTTCAATTAGGTTAGATTGGAATGACGGCCTATTGTGATACCACGTTTTAGCGCTGTTTATCTACAAACTGGAAAGATCCCTAAAAGGAATGGAGTGTTCAACATGTAAACAACGTTGAAAAGCACGACTCTCTAATTTAAGTGAAAGTGAATCATAACAGTTTGTTAATTTGAAATTTATTTCAGGCAGTAGCAGTTAGAAACCAGCTATAGAATATATATTTAGAAAATCCATTCTAATTTAATAAAAGAAATTTTGTTTGAAATTATGTATATATGAGCAAGGCTATATTTTTTTAATATAATTTATTATATCATTTACTGTCATCATTACTGTTATCATTTAAGGAACGGTCAAAATTCGAATTCCTGAAAATTGTTCTCATCCATTGAAGATATTATATAAATAGTTTTCTTACATTTTAGTGGAAATTTCTTAAAACTGCGTTCACTAAAACAAAATATGGAAAATATGTCACCAAAATAGACTTCCCGTTGTTGTTTAGAAATTAAAATTAATAAATATTAATAAAAAGAAAAAACTTGTATAAACTCATAAATGTTGTACAATATAAAAATAAATTTAAATTAAATTATTGTAAAGCAATTATTAGAAAAGCTAATTAAAATGTATTTTTATATATGTAAATTATGTGTGTATTATGTGTAATATATATTTTTATTTTTTATTTAGTATAATTTTTTTAACAAATTTATGTTAAACAATCGATATTACTTAAAAAATAGTTTTTTATATTAAGATGAGAAGATAAAAGGAAAAATCATTTAAATATATAATTAAATTGAATACAAAAAACGAATTAATTTTTATATATAAGTAAATAAAATAAATAAATATTTTTCATTAAAATACATAGAGTTTTAATATAAGAATATAATTATCACTTCCTTATTTAATAAAAAATTTTAATATCAAAGTAAGAAAGAAGATAGTACGACATCCAAAAAATTATTACTCTTAATTTATATGATTTATAACAAAAAATAGCAATTATTTATATAAAAAAAAATTAGAAAGCTCCAGAACAGCAGCATAAGAAGCCTGGTACACGCACAAGTTGCCGTATAAATAATTCAAGGTATCCCATTATAATTAAACATATGTATGCTAATATCATATAATATTAATATATTGGGTATTCTAGGCATAAAGAGTATTCTAAAATAAATATAACTTCTTTAAAATAGGTACTAGACATCATTGTGAATATTGGCAATAACTAAGCTGAATTATTCCCTTTTGTACTGTCATTTTAACTGTCAACGACTGTCCACATTCACCTAATTAAGCACTGAGTGACTTTTACTTTTTAAAAAAATGCATTGCATTTTGAAGTGTTTTGTGAATGAAGAAATCAAAATGTTTATACTGATATCCAAAAAGTATGTTGCTTTAGATGGAATAACTTTGCTTCTATTGAAATTTTGAAGTCATGAAAATTTGACAGTACAGCTGTGAAGGATCTTGCTTTATTTAATTCCAAATAGATGTACTTCTTTCAAATATCTATTAAAAATTTGAATGCCGAAGTAAATGGTTGATGGAGAGGTAAATTTATACCCAATCTAAGCAAACGGTTACAGTTTTTAATTGGTGGTCAATCTCACGTCAATGTTTTTGAACCATTGAGACTTTTGAAAGTATTTGAGTAAAATAGGAAAGAGAGGTATGGTTAACTATATAGTATAATGACACAACTTAACAAGCAACAAATAAAAGGGGAAAATAGTTATAAACCAACAAAAATTAATTTATAAGCTATATGTATATAGAAGAAATAGATTATGAACTAAGTAGGGGAAGATGTTTTTTGTATATATGAGTTGCCAATGTAAGCATCAGACCATTGTTGTTGGTCAGAGATTTTTCGATCACTTTCAAATAAAACCTGAACCTAATAATGTCCCTAATGTATGCTTCTTTATTATCTGGTTTTGATTCTGAACTAAGTTTGAACTATATGATTACTTCTCAAAATAAACGACACAAGTAGTTCTTCAACTATTCCCTATTCCCTTATCGCCTAAAAACTAATTCCTAAAAGAAATTATAAATATTAATTTAAATCATATTTGGATTTTTTGCTTTAAAACTCTTGTATAATTGATAGCCAAGTGAAGGGACTCACTAAGATACTTCATTAATGTATATAATACAACATATCATGGCAATTTGAGAAGTATGTGTGAGGCCATTATTGTTAATATATAAAATTAGGCCTTCTTTCCGTGTGATGTGCAATATATTAAAATATATAAAATATAATTTTTTTTATGTTATAACACAGTAATTTCCTCGTACTCTTAATTGTATAAGTTTGTAACTAAAGATTTTTTAATGGATGTTTGGCTAGTTCGTAAAACCCTTTTTTTGGGTATTTAAAATCATATGTCATATTATTAAATTAAATTATTAATTTATTTTTTTATTTTATTTTATTTATATTAGTATTTAGGTAAGTAATTAACCTATCAGGTTAGCTTAAGGCTGCGGTTACATAGCATGCGAATTTTGTCGTACGTGTTCGTACGAACAGATTAAATGTGTGTAATCCTATGTGAGTGGTTACAGTTGTTGAGAACTATTCGCGCGACGTCTTGTCTTTCTCATGCGAATATTTGATTAAACAAAATATTTTCTTTGAAATTCATGCGTTCAATTCATGCGTGTGAAATCGAAGGTGTAAATAGTAAAATTGAGAGGTGTGTGTTATTTTAAATTTATAAATGGAAATAAATTTGAAAACATACACTATTTTTAAGAAATGGATTGTGATTTGCTAATTTCAAACTCTCTATTTTTATACCTTGAAAAAAAAACCTCATGCACCCAAATTCGTCTTTTGGTATTTGATATAAATAAATAACTTGATTATATATATATTAACTTCACTATCCATTTTATTCTCAAAACAAACAAAAACACAACTGTCAATTCGTAAGTAATGTAACCGCAACGTACGATGTGATTGCATGAGAAAACATATGTATGATCACGCAAGACCAAATTCGCATACAATGTAATCGCAATTTAATAGACTTCATAAATTTGACGAAGTTTCTATTACAAAATCTACAAAGAGGTTTAGTACTGTCTGTAATATCTAAAGACTAATAAGTTTATATGTGGTTTAGACTTATTAGTTTGCCTGATTAATTTAATCTAAACAAATTTATTGAGATAAAAATATTAAAGATATTTTGTAAAATAATATCTTGATTTTTAATTCAGTTTATTGAAAGAGATATTATAAAATGAAGATTATTATCTAGTTTTTTACTTAGAATTCCTTTAAAGTTAAAATTTAATGATGAGTAGTTCTCCTATTTCTATTCTATTCTAATAGTCTATTCACACAACACAAACTATTCAATGTTGTTAATAGTTTGGCTCATTTGAGTGGATACGTTAAACACATATTCACACAGCAAATCAAAATTTTATCTTATTTTAGTTAATTTTGTATTTGTAGTTGCCGTCGCTAATAAAAATGCAGAATATTGCAGCAATATTATGTTTAGCTTTTTATCAGAATTATAAATGAGATTGTCATAGAATTGTATTATCCTGACTTATAAATTTGATTAGAAATGGATTTTGTATATATTTTAATTGAATCGTAATAGTTATTAGATTTGTGTATAAAATCAGATCACAATATTAACTTGATTTGAACAAACCGACCGAGCAATATTTTGCTCGGTTTTGGCTTTGCTGTATGTTACACATCCGTACAGTAAAGCTGGTCTAATTATTTGAGTATATAACCTTTTTGTTTTTGAGGTTGAATCGATTATGATTAAACAGCGGCTTTAGGAGATGTAGAAGTTTAGTGCAACTATTCCGTTTGCATTTCATATGTTTATACCAATTAAGCCGTTTGTCAAAAGTGATCCCCAGATATTTTAAGCTTTCCTTCCACCATATCTCCGTGCCACCAACTCTCACTTCTGGAGGATGATGCCTTCTCTTTTGTGTTATGAATGTAGCGTTGGTTTTTTCATTATTTATTTTAATCTTTCATTTCTGGAAAACAAAGTTCAAATCAAGAAGATTCGTATAAGAACTTTTACAGCCGAAAATAGAATTGAATCGTGATTTTTACAAAATCATTTTTATTTTAATTTGGACAGTTCACCTTAGGACAGTATTATGCAGTACAAAGTTATGCTATTGTGAATAATTTTGAGGAATGAATAAAATTTTCATACAAAATGAAACAAAACAAATGTGCAAAGTATTTATTATGTGTATGTATCATATGCGTAAAGTATTTATCAAATGTGCAAAGTAAATAATTTGTGAAACTAGTTAATATATGATATATCTGACATATGATACGGACATATGATATATCATATGATATATTCATCAAATTAACATCATGTTAATTGATATTTTTGTTTTTTGATTCAAGATATCAATTTAAATTTTTTGACAGCTAAAATTACATTCATATGTATATCTAATGTGAATCCATAAAATCATATTAATAGTTTACTGTTTGCGTTAGTTTACATATCTGTATATATATGCAGTATGTTACGGTAGTGTACCGTTCATTTTCTTTTATTGGTTTTGAATATCCTTATTGTTATTTTTGCTGTTAGCACTTATTAATATATAAGTAAGTTCCACATAATTTTATTCAATTAAAATAAGGAAGTAGTTCTTGTCAATAAAATAATATACAGTATCAATTGGTATTAGCTTTAAATTTCGTTTTTTTTTAATTTAACAAATTTTTTTTAAATATAAAATGTTGTGTACATCACATTTAGAAACCTTCGTTAAGTAATAAACGTACTTTCCGAAATGCAACCATGTTTGGATTTACTGCAAATACTTATTAAACACAGCTGTTAGATATTTTCATATTGAATCATTGAATAAAAACAAAACAAATTACATTTATTACAGTCGAAAAAAATATACAAAGGGGAAACGTAGAAAAAATTGTTCTGTTATGTGTGTTAAATTTTTGAAATGTAATTATTTTTAACATATTTTAATTAAAAAAATTAAATTTTATCAACTTGATCCAGTAAAAACTGTATTGAAATATTTTTTTTTTCTAGCTTTCAGTGAAAATTAGTTATTTGACATCGTTCTAGAAAAAGTTGCTACGCCATTGAAGATAAAGAAAATAGACAAATTGCTATATATATTGGAAATAACCATATAATGTGCACAACTAGTAATCAAGTAAATTATGTTTACACATTGTTAAAAGAAAAATTATACACAAAAACAGCTGAAAAGAAAATTCAGATAAAAAGAATTTGAAAGAAGAAACTAGTAGCGAAGCAAATAGTGTTAGTTCATTTGTCAATATAAATATATAACACCAAAAAAGAAGGAATATATTTTTATAAAGAGAAGTTAAAGTAATTGTGCTCTTGGTAGTGCATATGTGAATTGAAGTTAATTTTTCCAGAAGAAATTTTTAGTTAAAAATTTACTTTTGGAAGTTGAAAAATTTTTCAGGATGACTATCAAGCCTTTAGTGACAACCTCTCAAAAACGTGTTTCGGGAGATACGGAAAAAGAGTCCCATTCGCATGCAAGTCATAATGCCGTAGACGCAGCAAGCAGCCACAATCAGCAAAACGTGGTAGTTCGGAATTCAGCACAACATCGGAACGTTGTTATTGATGGACATCGAAAGGTAATTGTTTAATTATTAAAATCGATATTTTTTTTTTAATTATTAAAAAATATTCTCATACATTATTGACGAAACTGCATAAATATTAATTGTTTGAGTTGACGTCAACGTTTTTCCTGATGATTGACTCATGGGTTTAACTCTTTAAATCTATGCACTGCAATTGTTGTTATTGGAGTAGCATATGTGGCATGCAGTAGAAATCGGTATTTAATTAATAAATTAATTAGAAGTAATGCAATTGCATACATTTTTTTGTGATTTTTTTACATATCAATGGAATGCGTGTTCGTTACATATGTATATAAAAAGTCAAACAGAAAAGCATGATGTAATTAAAAATATCTTACATAAAGTCTTTCATTTAAATGGCAGGAGATATATATGTCTTAATACATCTCATATGAGATAAATTAAAATATACATCGGTACTTTACCATTATAATACATATCATTAAGTACATGAAATTGTATTTCGGTATTTAAGTCTTCATTTCCATAACTTATTTTGTGTAAGCGCTGAAGGGTTAATCTACTACATTAATTTTTCTTAGAACTTTAATCTTTTAACAGATGGTGTTTCTCAACGTTGAACCCACACTCCACAAGCGGTGAATTTGATTGTTTAAGAAGACATTACTGCAAATGGGTTATTTTGTGACATATAAACAGACAGATACCGTGTAACGATTTGTTTTGCCGATATGATCACGAATATACTATTTTATCATCGAGTTCCAAAATCGGGTTCACGTTTCACATGAAATGAATTTGATTATTTAAGAAGACAAAATGTTATAATTTTGACAAACACCGAGATATATGATCAGGACAATATTGATTCGATTTACTAAGTTGATTAAAAACAGCAAACAGCTATATCAGTATTTTCAAATGTAACTGTACAAAAGGATACATTTATTATTTAGGAAAGGCCAAAGGTGTATTAGGACCTTTCCGTATGTCCATATTAGGCGAATTCACACCAAAGCGAACGCTTAAGAATGAACGAATATTTACAGGTAATCGTACCTGTAAAAGTATGTGTGTTCGCCAGCGTTCGCTTTAGTGTGGATGTACCTTTAGATGTATGTTAATTTGATATTAAATTTATCCATGTCTTATCCATTATCTAAAACTGTTTGCTATAATGTTTATTAAAGGATATTATATACAATAGATATAAATGGACGCTGCTTACTTAGTTATGACTAAGCACACATATTTTATAGGTTCGATCGCTTTTGTTTGTCAAATATTTTAATTTCTGCAGATTATAAAAAAATTGTCCAAGGATAGCACAACATATCTCACAGGGGGCACCATTGTTTGTTCTAATAATAAAACTTTTCGATGAAAATGCATAGAACATATTTTCCACAAACATATGAAAAAACATTGTTTTATATAGTCTTCGATACCTCCTTTTGTTATTTATATTTATTGCAATACATTTTTTTAATATATATTGAAATATATATCCACTATTTACTTCAATATGTTTTATTAAATTGTTTGTGTGCTTTTACATAAAATTAATATTTTGAAAATATAATTAAGCAATTTCATTGTTGTTAAAAAATGATATTTTTATAGATTCCTTTATTGTAATTTTATGTTATATTGTAATTATGTTTAATTATTTGAGATATGTTTTTAAATATTCACCTAATAATTTTAAAAAATGTTTATAATAATAATTTTTATTTACATTTAACAGAGTCCTCAAAGGCGCGTAGAAGTCTATGAAGAGTTAAGCCGACAACGACGTAGTCCAAATAAGAAGTATGTCAATTTTTATATATAATTTTTTATTTATTTTGTTTATATGTCTTTTCTTTTTCTTAGTTTACGCTCTAAGAGACGCGATGCAAAAGATCTCCAATATAAACGTGATCGTAATGAACGTGAAAAGCTTACCAATCAAAATAGTGTCCCTGGTAAATGTGTTACACCTCATATACACAATGTTTCAACTGCTGGTATTAAAAATAACGGTGGTAATAGTCCAGCACATGTTAATATCGGTGGTAAGTCCCCAGAACATTTAGGTAATATTTCGGTTTTGGGTTGTCAAAATTCTCAACCTCAAAATCTAAACCAAGTGAATGCTAAGTTATTAAAAAAGGACGAAGATAAGTGTTCGGGTTATAATAGTGGTGATGAACATACTCAGCCAAAGGAATGTAATATCTCCGCTGATGAATGGAATCGTCGTGATGAACAATTTGCAAAATGTATGGTTGATCGTGGATATATATTGAAACCAGTGGAAGAAGATGGTGCTTGTTTATTCCGTTCGATTTCCTTACAGATTTACGGTGATGAAGAGATGCATGATGTTGTAAGACAAAATACAATGGATTATATTGTAAGTATATTAATTTTTTTATTGCATATGCTGTACAAGTATAAATATTTAAATCATTTTACTTTACAGTATCAAAATCGGGAATATTTTCGTCATTTTGTTACAGAAGATATTAACAGTTATATTAAACGAAAACGCCGCAATGATTCGCATGGAAATCACATTGAAATACAAGCTATGTCTGAAATTTACAATAGACCTGTTGAAGTTTATTCATATAAACCAAGTAAGTAAATTTTTATTCTAATAAAAAGTATAAAATAAAAATAAAATTTTTGCAACTAAAAATTTTTACATACATTTTAAGAATACATATTTTTCGGAAAAGTTATATCAAAAGAAAAAAACATTCCATATTTTGAAACCCTAAATGAGTTTGAAAAGTAGAAGAACCTTCTAGTTATCCAAGGAATATAAATATGTATAAGGTGTTTAAGTGAACCCTTTCTTATATAATAAGGATTTCTGGAGTGAGGACCTTTTTGTAATCTTCTTTGAAAATGTCTGAATAAATATTGACAATAGAGTCCTCTTTCTATATGCTTTGTTTTGTTTCTAGGTGATGGAATCGTGTATCGTCTTTACAAAGTTACAAACTAACGAAAAAGAAAACATGTATTTAATAACTAATGCAAGACTATTTGTACTTATAATAATTAAGAACTAATGTTCAAATAAAAATTCTTCTGTATAAATAGTTCTCCATAAAAATTGATATCACGCATCTCAAATTTTTTGTAGATAGGATGCACTGATGAATGTAAGCAATTTGTTGATTTCAAGGTAGGAAATGTGTTGGAGTCAATTAAATAGTTGCTCATATTATTATCTGAATATAGAATTCAATAGTATTGTGAAACAGCTTAAAACCTGTTCACGTTTTTTACACTATTAGTTTGTGGTCTATAAGCCAGGACATTAAATTATTTCGTACGACTGTTATATCCAAATTTAAACCAATCGATTTTATTTTTAATATTATACATAACTATAGATACTAACGTTTACTTTAAAAAACACATAAATAAATAAAAATTTTGTTAATTAAAATTTTGTATTTCAACCGTATGTTTATAGGGAATTACAACCAATATCTGATAATAGTTTTGTTATTCAACAAAAATTTAGTAATATAGTTTTATTAAATGAGGGTTTTGTTCTACTACAAATCAGGCTTCAAAAATTTATAAATACCTATGTTATATTAAAAGCCGCACCGATCTTACAATTGGTTCAGTAGATATATTGGTCAATGCATACGTATTATGTACTGAGGAACTTTTTATTTAAATAGTATAGAAGCAGATAATTATTTCTTGGTTCAAGAACCACAAAATATTCAGTAGTGGGGGTGAACTTTCAAGTAGAGGATGTCGAAAGAAAAGTGCAAAATCCCTCAGTCAAAAAACCTCGACATCTTAAATAATTTTGTACAAATAATTGAGGTTAAGGTACTAAGGTACAAATGGCTTGATTATGTTTTTCCGGTTACACTCTGTATTTCGTTGCTTGCACCAAAGAATCGGTTCCCTTGATTTATGCTATTTATTTATTTAATTTTAATGAAATAGTAAATTAATATTAACCATGTGGGAAACTCAACTCAGTTTTCTTTCTACTCACTTTATATTAAAAAGATTTAGGTAACTCATACTTAAAAAGTTCAAAGTCTATTTTTAGATTTTTAATATTAACTTCAATTATTTCAATACAATTTTTATTTTAAGCACCAATTAATATTTTCAATTCGGAGCAATTAAAGAATGGACTTGCCCCTTTACGTCTATCTTATCAACGTGGTTCACACTATAATGCAATTTTAGATCCTTATAATGCAACAGTAGGTGTTGGACTGGGTTTAGCTGGTTATAAACCTGACTTACAAACAAAAGAAGCAGCTCGTTTAAGTGAACAGCTTGAAATTGAACAGGTTTGTTTAAGTTTTACGTATTTTAACATTATTAATACAAATTGTGTTTGTAACATAATTATAGACAATGTTTGAAGATAAACTAAAAACTACAGATTGGGAAGCAACGAATGAAGCTATTGAAGAACAAATTGCACGTGAATCATATTTACAATGGTGTCGTGATAATTTGCAAAAATCTCGTAATGTAGCTTCATCTACCGCTGCTTCAACGTCAGCTACAATTACATCAGCAGAATATGCATCTGGTACTGAAGCATCACCGTCAAAATATTCAAATCTCAAAAAATCAGGTAGCAGTAGCACTATCACTGCTGCAACAGCTATAACTGCAGGTTCAGGACATAATTCACCCAGCTGTGCTAGCATATCACACAATACGACATCATTAGAACATACAATGTCATTAAGTAGCTTAGGACATAATATTAAATTTGAAAAAAATATGTGCGATTTGGGATTTGATAGCGATGATACTGACATGAGTAGCACTAGTTCTAGAAGTACTAATTGTGGAAATGATAGTAATTCTCCATCGTCAGCTGCACGTGCTCAAAAAAATAAGTCACGTGGTAATGGTATTCGTGGTAATAAAAAACGCAGACGGGAACGTATTGCTGCTGCACTCTCAAATAGGTAAGCATATAAATAAATATGAAATTAAGGTCTTAAATCGTAAATTTATTTGTTCTAAATCAAATAAAAAAAAAAATTATATCGTTTTGGTTTTCGGTTCGATAAAAATAACGATTTTTTGGAGTAAATATATTTTTTCTCTATGTATTAAAAATTAGTTATTTTTGTTTTGATTAAATTGATCATTTCATTTAATTAATCTCAGTCTTATGGCCAGTCTTGAAGTTACGACAAACAAACTGGCGCACGAAGTCAAAAGCTCTGTCACCATCATGAGCTCATACCCTTATCTGTGGCTATAAGTCCAAACCTTTAGTGTCTTCCCGGCAAAGTAATACATAGTTAACAAATTTATTTAATAAAACGTGTTTTAACTTTCATTCAAGAAAGTTTTAATCACTGAAGAATTGAAGTGTAATGAGCAACCATCGAAATGGACATTGCCGGTATATTTTTTTTTGAGTCTGGTTCCCGTTTTCCTTGTTTCCAAAATATTGATCTTTTTTAATTTTCAAAGTTCAATTCTGCTTTAAAGCACTTGTAGAAACATATTCTATTTTTCTAAAACTGTATTGATATAGTTTAAGGCAAATTAAATACATATAATGCTTTTCATTTCAGTAATGATATTGATAAATCAAAATGTGATACACCGTCAGTAGTTAATGCATTACAAAAGAAACGTTCTCACACACCCGAGGTTGAACAACAACCTAGTACTTCTAAGCAGTCGAGCACACCAGAAAAAAACAAAACAAACTCAACCGTGTCTTCCACTATTAAAAGTTGCGAATCTAATTTCTATCAAGAGCTTTTAGAAGCATCTTATGCAGATGGTGAGTAAATATAATATTGGAATTCATAATCTCGAGAAATGAGTTTGGGAAATGACTAATATAGTAACATAACTCCTGCATTGCACTATGTTTCCTATGTTACTCGTTCATCGAACTTGTTTCTGGAGATCGTAAATACCCTGCACTTATTAAAATAAAGTAATATAATGCTATAATTCTTATATTAAAGGATTTGGTCAATTGAGCGAGTCAGAAATGCTGCGTCGTGCTATACAAATGTCGACAGAAGATTACATTGAAGATCAGAAACGGAAATATTTTTATGGCCCATAAATTAAATAAAAATTATTCAGAAATTTGTTAAAAAAAGAGGTATACGTAAATAAAAATAAATTGAATTGTGGATTAGAATTTTTAAATTGATTATTAATTAAATAATTTCTTTAATCATATTTATTATATATATATAATATTATAGAATTATAAAATAAGCTCAGTAAATCATTGTAAAAATATTTCATATTTTTGTACATGTTTTTGAAATATCAAATCCTTTATAAATAAAAATTAATACAACGTTTTTATTATTTATAAGTCATTGAAATCTATAAAACAAAAATTTTATTAATAATTTATATTTAAGGTTACATTATTTATATGATAAACTAATTTCTTTTTTTATTACTTCAAATGCTTTATGTTGTGGAATTATAAATGAATAAATATAGAATTTTTTCTTATATTTGTATTTAATTTTTATAAAAATTAATTAAATTACTTAAATACTTTACAAAATTTGTATTATACAATTTAATTCTAGGTTTTATATGAATACATAATTAATTAAATAACAAATATTTGCATACATTTATGAATTTATAAAGATTATATATATTAAAATGTGTATAAAATTTAAGAGATAACATTAAAATATATGCTGGTGCATAATGAGAATATATGAATATAATTAGAATGTACATGTAATCACATTTATTTCATTAATAATATACCTAATTGTATTTCTTTACACACAATAACTTTTAATAATTTTTTCTGAAATATTTAAAAATAAAATTGAAGAACACTGAGTTGAAATTTGTATGTTTCAAGTCTTTAAAAAGAATTACAGATAATTCTGATTTTGTTTGATCGTAAAGTTTTTTGTTATTAATAGATATTGTATATAACATACATTTACTTTGTAGTTATTAATTTAAAATATTTTTTATAAATCTAGAACTTATTATTTTTTTATTTATAAAAGTAATATTAGTTAATATAAGATCTCAACCTAAAAGAATTTAAAACTGCACACACATGCACATAAATATATATACTTCCATTTATTTTGTAATTAAACGAAGGTTATTTATTATTATGTATGTATTTATCTTGTATATATAAGGCTCTGTTAAATTAATTGGGAGTTGTTAATCTAATGTTTATACGGAAGCATAACAATGCCACCTAAGTGGTGAAGTCTCTTTCTGCCAAGAGAAGAGCATTCTCAATAAACGTGCTATGAACTTTCGCTGTTCATTTCGTAAAATCAGCAGATATTTTCAAATACACCCAATTGATTGCAATAATCTGTAAATTTATCAGATAAAGTTAAATTTATGTTTACCTTGTTTAGCAAAAAAAAATACCTTATTTAAATCTAATGATCACTTAATTTGGATGATAAATTTTTTTGATGGTCAACAATTTTTTTTTCCTGTTCCTCATGTCCTAGGAGCTATTTTAGTACTATAGTATATATAGTAGTTAGTATAAATCTCTCCTACTATAAACTAGTATAGTATTAAGACTAGTTTTAAAATTTCATTTTCTCCGTATTTAGAAAATTATTCAATCATTTACAATTTTCGAGTTTTAATCATTAAAGACTGATGGACTCTTAATATCACTTGATTATCTGGTAGTATGTAAGGAAGAGTTCCTTTCATCACTCTGTAAAGACATTTATCGCTAAAATTGATAATATGCCGATCAACCAGCCTGGATTTCAATATTTTACGTTGTTCATTTTAATCCTAGAACGCTTGTGATAATCATGAGTTTCGTTTAAAATCCTTCTGGGCTAAGCTTTTATTTTGTTTTTGACAGTTTCTCTACTTACTTTATTGAGTGCTGTATTGTATAAGTTTACTTGTGCGTTGGGAACAAAATTGTTATTGCATTTCGAAGAGTTCTATTATTGTATATATATCAAATGAATGGAAAAAGATAAAGTATTATTCTTGTACATAAATTTATGTAGAACTTTAAAATTTTTAAAAATGGTGTGAGCAATGTATAATGACCAAAGTTTAAGCAAACTGGTGTCAGTTGATAAAAAATTGGATAAACGGCGGTGGCAGTACTAAATTCCCACTTTTTTGTTTTTTTGACGTTTGTCTAATTTTTACGCTGTTGGTTTAAAAAAGTTTTTCGACTTTTAGCATCAAGAAAATTTATCGTATAGTTTCTGTGAAAATAAATAATACATATGTAACATATATTCGTTTTGCTTGATTAATGTCAGTTATCTAAATCTACAAATTATACACAAAATGGAAAGATTCTTCAGATATTTTTCACAAAAGTGTTTAAAGAAATATTTTAATATGTAAGTATTAATATTACTAATTTCTTTATATAAATAAATAAAACTATATTGTGTTTAATTTATATATCATTATATAAAAATACTTAGACTTATAAGTTAAGTTAAAAAATACTTAGACTAAGTTATAAAATACTTAGACTCTCAGTATAAAAATATATAACGTCAATGCCTTTCATTATTTGGAAACTAATATCATTTTATAAATTTTAGATATTTGATACTTAACCATGAGCTTGGCATTTTTATATAAAAAATAAAAGTATATGTATACTTTATTAAAATTACTAAATGTTTTGAATAAGTTGCATTTATTTAATACACACAAAAAAAAAAATTTCATACATCTTTTAGAAAAACATGGGGGTTAGGTTATGACGGTCATCCTTAGAATCCACAAAAGCCTCTTGGCTCATTGTGCTAAAAATCTTAAATATGTACTAATAAATGTACATAATATTACTTATAGTAATCAATGCGAATAGATCACTTCTAATAAATGTACTAAAAAATGTGATTTCCGATATTTAAATGTTATATATTTAATGTAGTATTGTACAAATTTCGAATTGATGGAGTTATATGTACTTATGAATTTATTGATTTAAGATTATGGACTACCACAGTTTTCTGACAGATCAGCCACTGCATCAGTGAAATCGTCGTGCTTACAGCAATGTTCACTTTTATTACTTGTAACCCGCTTGCGATTTTTCTTGCGTTTTTCAGGATGTCCGAAACAGTTGTCACAGTCATCTTCATCTTCGGTTGAGCTTTCACCAAATTGTAGCGGTTTCTTGTATATACAACAGCATTTTGATTTCTTTTTGTTCATATGCTCATTATCAACAGTGTCCTCACTCCATGAAACACTACCTTGAGTTTTAGGCTTTTTTAAACGTAGCTTCAGTACTGGTTGTGTCGGGACTTGTTGCTCGACAGTCAGTTGTTGGGTTTCAGTAATGGGCTCAGTGCTTGTTGAACTTTTAATACTGTCCATTTTGTATGAAATTTACAAATTTAGATTACTTCTAAAAAATGCCGCTTCTAAGAAATATATACATTTATTAGTACAGATACTAACATTTTTATAACGAAAAATATATATAGTTACCGTTCTTTGCTGAAAAAACATTTCAAGTTCTAAATTTAATATTGGAAATTCAAAGCATACACGATAAATTTCTTTGATAACAACTGTTTTCTATATTCAGCTTTATAAATGTAATATATAAAATCTGTTTCAACATTCCACAAAAGTATATGAACGAGACAGGTTCGAAAAAGGCGTGCAAATATGCAAAAAATATTTATTTACGTTTAAGAAAAACAAGGGAAGGTAAGACAAGGAAAGAATCCAAATAATGCTGCCAATTACTTTTATCAAATTTATTAGCAAATATTATATGGGCACAGACACTTATTTATTCTCTAGGAGTTCGTTATATTTTACAAGACATATAGTAATTTTTAAATATTAAAAAACAATGATTTAGAATGTATTTCAAGAAACAAGAAACGAAAAAAATTATTTGTATTTTCAATAGTAATTGAAATATAGAGTGCCAAAGAAAAATGTAGAAAAAAAATCATCTTCTAATTGGGAGCAATAAAGTAATATCATAAAAATTATTCATCCACATGCTTTATAATTTATACTCATATTACCAGCTTTTAGTCTAACAAATATCCTTCAATTTGATACTCTCCATATTTGTGTACTCATATACAAACTTTTCAATAAATGTCTTTTAATTTGATGCCTAATACTATGTTCAAACAGCCAAATATCCTTAATTTCGTAAAAATGAAATTAAGTTAATTTCAAAAGTGTTCATACTAGCCGAAATTTGGAAAATCATAGTTTTTTTTTAAAAAATTGAATGTTAAAAATGCTCCAAACATCATTTGTATCTGGGAAATTTTAAAAGTTGATTAATATAACTATAAACGACGGCATTCATTAGTTTTATTAGCTTTAGTGGATTTCAAATTTAAAAATTTACACTAATTTCAAAATATTTCCCGGTTAAATAAAGTCAACTGTCATTGACATTTATTTAAAAAAAATGTCATCTTTTCGTTATCTCAACTTTATCTTTGGTTCAAAATTTATCTTACGCATAGTTGCCTTTGAAATATCCCTTAATTTTCAGCCTTAATTTCAACAAAATAAAGACAATTTGCCTTAATTTCATTCTAACCCCAAAACTGAGTTTTGTGTGGAAAAATCAACTTTATTTCGCTGAAACGAAGATGAAATTAAGATTTATGCGAAATTAAGGTGTATCTGAATATAGTATAACATGTTCTTGTACTTAAAAGCGTTTTATAATTTATAGTGGTTTAAAATTAGCATTTTTGAAAATGTTTTTTTTAAACGTCTTTCAAAGAATCTTTCATTTATCACGCACCGTTATTGTACAATCAAAATGAACATGAGTTAGAAACGCTTTAGCTTCAACAGAATGGTGCCACATAATAGGCTTCAACTAATTGAAAGAAATTTTGGTGATGATGTAGTTTTAGACACGAACCCATTTTCTGGCTATCAAGATAGCATGATTTGTCGCCACTAGATAACTTAATTTGTTAAAAAATAAATTCATTTATTATTTATTATTTTTTTTTTTTAAAAAATTTGGCAACAAACATATGAAATTACTTATTTCTATATTTAAGTCTATAGTAGAAAAACCATCTAAAATTAATATGCGAAACAACTGTAATCATAATGAATTCAACAGTTGTGTTAGCCAGGCGTGTGTATTCAAATAAATCCGGATCCGATGTAATGCATTATTCTTTTAAAAAAAGTGCAATCATATAGTAAAATGAAGTATCAAATACCGATATTGGCACTAAGGGATGGTATCTAGTGGGAATATTCGCCATCGAAAGGGGTGCTTAGTTAAATCTAATTAATGGTTACCAAATAAGGAAAATAGCTGTGTTATCGGACAGTCAGGAGCAATGAGTTCGTATGAGGTTGACTCTAACTTAGTATGTGATCGTGTTCAGAAATTAAATGAGTTAGACAAGAATAACAAAGTAAACCACCACACAGAGCAGGGATTATAGGAAGTGAGAATGCAGATGCACTTATCAGAAAATAAGGTCTCTATGAAAATGTAAGAATATTTGAAGGTGTTGTAAAGAATTGTTATAAACTATTGTTATTATTGTAAGAATACCGTGTACAATAAAATAGTACGGCATAGAAAACAACCGTAAATATAATCGTATTGTTTCCGATACTAAGTTTAGAAAACTTGTTTAGAAATAGGATAAGATATTTACAATTTAGGTACGACATCGACTAATTTAGAGTTTAAATAGTCTTCTTCCATTTGGAATGGAATTTTTACATTGACAAGTGGGATGGAGTAAAAAACTTAATTCTAAATTTTACCGACTTCGAATAAATCAAGCATTATAGCTAGCTTATTAGGAGACCAAATTAAAAAATCTGCAGTATATACTATAGGAGTATTCAGTCTGTCTTGCAAAGTCTTTGCAAGGTGCACGAAATGTAAGAATGCTGTACTAAAATTGTAAGTGTGAGAGAACACTTCTGTTGCAGAATTGCAACAAAATAAAACAGCTGTTTTGTAGCAAACCACATCCATATGAGAAGCAACAGTTATCTAAACAGCTGTTTTCTTATCTTTATTGTTTCGTTGCATATATGCGTATTGAAAGATTGTAAGCAGTTACAAGAAACTTTGTGCATGTATTTTGTTGCTGTTTATTGCAAGCTCACTCAATCTGTACATTTCATATGAATTTGCAAGACAGAGTGAAAACCTCCAATATATAACATAAAAAAAAGTGCACACCCTGTTGGTAAGTAGCAATAACTGCTTTTTGTTTCGAATAACTTCAACTAAGGAAAACTTTAAGCAATATATTATATAGCTTTGCATGATCTTATTCAATTCTTTAGAGAAAGTAAACCTATCCATCTTACAAATTTGTCTAGCAAGCAGCATTCTATTGAATGTAGCCTTAATGTCTAATAGTACCATTTCTGTGAAAAGCTCAGTATTAAAATTATATTAGAATATATTTCTGATTCTAAAGACGAAACAGCTGTGTTGTGTTCGCTGCAGAAACCAAATTGAGGGTTGAGTGATAAATTCTTTTTTCTTATACCTTTTTTTATGAACGTTAGTTAAAAACGGTTTATTTAGTACACTAAGGCAGGGGGAGGGAAACCCTAGCAAACATTTTTTGTTTAAGTTATATTTAAGTTAAAATCTCTTCAAATAGATGTGTTTCAGTAAAAATTTTTCAATATCTGATCTAATTGCTTTAGTATCATAATATTTTGGGAATAAAAATGACTCTTCCTTCATTGAAAACTAAACGATCCATTCTGAATTACAAAACGGATGATGGAAAATGCGACAGATCACATAAAATTCACGATCCTAACAATGTGATCCGTTTTTGTCTTTCTTTTGTAAAATACTCGATATATATACGTGAGATGATCACACATATGTCGAGTTGCCTAATCTTATTTCATAATTTAATTATTATAATAAATTCATTCCATTGCATTATATAAATTATATATGAAAAAATTATTTATTGATGATTCAAAAACTTTATTTTTTTTTTTATTATTGTATTTTTATTTTATTAATGGTATATTTGTTACTATTTAAAAAAGAAATTATAAACATTTCCTCCATGACGATAACTTAAGCGTTTTCCATGATGATTTTCACAAGGAGATGAAGTTGTTGTATCATAATTTCCTGTGGTAGATTGAGAATATATTATAGGAAATATAAATGCAATGATGAAGAAGAAAAATGCGAGCTTCATTTGAAAACTTTTTCTTAAGTGTAAATGATTAATATACTTTTATTTAAATGATACTAAATTAAAATTTAGGAAATGCTTCTTATATACTTTTTTTCAATTACTTCAATTGTTTGCTCAGAGAGTATAAACAAACAAACATATTAATTAAATAAAACTAGAACACAGACTTAACCGATTTTTTTTATTGATATTAACAAGCAAATAAGAAGTTTTAAGATATTATTGTATTTTAACAATTTGTCAAAGTTTAGTTAATAAATATTGTAAATACATTGACGCATGCCGATAAAAAATACAGTAAAAGGTCTATTAAACGATTATTCTCATAAACGGAAATCCCTATTAACCGCAAATCGTTCCTAGTGTCTAGTTTTTATTTACCGTTTTCAAATGAACAGATCTTCTAACCGGATAGAATTGTTGATTCCTTCTGATGACTACTTACGAGAGCTTTTCTTGTGTAAATATATTATATTTATATTAAATACATATATATTATAATATATAAATACACTTTCAAATCCATTAAACTAAATCAATTAAACTAAAAATAATGAAAATATGATGAGAAAAATAAAACAAATAAAAAAGAATTATGTATGAATAATATCAAGTTATCGGTATTTTGATCAATACCTAAATAGATTTCATAACCTATGTCTTTAAAAAACTTTAAAAATAGTAACTTTTACACGACTTCTTCTCCATATATTTTGTTTTTTCATATGAAAACAGTCACCCACCTGTTCTATAAGAAAACAGGTGGAAAAACAGAATTTTTTTCTCAGAAAAATTGCTTAATGATATAACGTCACATAACGTCAAGTTATATTGTAGAAGAGATGTATTCTAATTTTCAAGAGCTATGCCTTCAAGATGGACAAGATATTTTAAGGAACTTCTAAGAAAATTAAAAACCAAGGTTTTTGAAATAGTCTTTTATGAAGAGAAAACTAGGGACTATATAAAAAATCAAAAAAAAAAAAACTACTCGTAACATGAAAGAAATGAATGACATGAGTACTAAACTTTAAAAATAATAAAGTTTAAAAAAACTGGGATAAATTCGCTCGAATCGTATAGGGAAGTTGTAATGATTTGAAAATAAGAGTTAAAGCTTACAAAGTAAAATAAGGAAATTAACATATTCATCATTAACGAGGGTCACATAAGATTATCAAAAAATTATTTGGTTGTGAGTGAAAAAATTGAACACTCGATTATAGACGATTCATGTTATTTGTTTAGACCAATAAGAGATCCAATGAATTAGAGCTTAGATCAATCAACCTCAGTTCAATTACAGCAAATGATGTATGGGGTCTATAAAATTGTTAAAGACTAAAAAACATATGATATAAATATATGTTATAGTTACTACAATGACATATTTTATACCAGTTCCTACTATATAGATTTTTTTTATTATTAACTATTCTATTTCTCAGGAAGATATG